ATTTGGACTGATGTGCAGAATCATAGCCAACTAAAGTTCATTAATTTTTTTTCTTATAATTCTTATGTACATTTGTTTCATTCTGATAATAGCTTCCTCTCTTAGGGACTGAAATTATGCCTGAAATTAACATTGGGGTCATTGACCAATTATTAGTATCATTATGTTTTTCTTTCATAGAATATCCAGTTTAAGTGTGGTACACCTTTACAATGTACTGCCAGATAGAAAGAAAAGGAATATGACTGTAGAGACAGAAAAAACTTGGAAAAGGGCAAAGAAAACATCCCAGAAATAAAACACTCTCTTGACTTGAATGGCATTTTGCTACATGTAATGATTTTCAAAAATAACATGTCTTTCAACACTCTTCTTCCAAATAGTGAAGCCTAATTCCTCTACCCCACCTTGGTTGGGTGCTGGACATAGTGTCTCACTTCTAAGGACTAGATTTGGCTGACATCATAGTGTGTGAGTAGATCACAAATGGTATCGAGGTTTCCTTCCCTCGCTCTCAGGTAACCTTACTACCACAAAGGACACTGCAGACATTAGGGAGGTCGTTGCAGATGCCAGCACTGCTTGTACCCCCTCAAGGCAAGCCCACTGCCACCAAGGACACCACAGACATGAGGGATACAGCTGGAGCCCACCAAAGCCACTGCCAAAGTTGCCACCATAAGGACAGCCAGCCACCACAAAAGTAGCCATAGCAGCCAGTCCCTCTGTGCAGGAAAACTGCAGACCACTCAACTGGCCAAGGAGAGTCACCAGGAGAGCCTGGGGAGGAGGTGAGCAAGCGTAGACATGCAACCCATTGGACAAGCCCACATGGGTTATTATGTTACCTCTCACAGTAGCACACCTTGGGGTGAGACTTACATGGGCAGCCCACATGACTCCCTTCATCTGGAGGGTGACACACGTAGAAAACCTTGAGGGTGCAGAAACTCACGATAGCCAAAGTAAGGAAGAAAATTCACAGTGAAACTATCAGGATCATGGGAGGCTAGCCAGGGGGCCAACAAGCTGGCCCAGGGTCACCTACCCAAATCAAAGAGTAACAGGGTACCCAGGTGCTTCTCCCAAGAATTCAACATCTCTCCCACATCCTTGATGACTGAACACAGCATCAATACATCATCAATGAATCTTTAAGTGCCCAAGTGCCTAGGCCATGGAGGCACTCACATGCAACTCCAACACTGAATACAGCCAAAGTACCCAAGCAGAGACTACACCACTGTGTCTACCTGGAGCCAATAGTAAAACACCTACTCAGTGGTTAATACAAAACACATCTACAGGAGTCTGTCTTCTCAACACCAACTCTAAAGTAATAGAAAAAGCATCAGCTCTGCCAGATGACTAGACATCAATGTAGAAATACTAGAAATAGGAACAAACAAAAAAATATGAATCCACCAAAGGAATTCAATAACTCTCAAGTACTAGACCCAATAAAGCAGGAAATCCTTGAAAGGATGGAAAAGGAATTCCAAGTAACAATCATGGAAACTCAGTGAGATAAAGGAAGACACCATCAGACAACACAATGAACTGGACTAAACTATACAGGATATGAAGTAGAAAATTTACAGAGATTAATACTTTAAAAATGAATGTACTAGAAATCATTGAATCAATGAAATAAAAAACAAAATTGAGAGTTTAAGCAGCAGAATAGATCAAAAAGAAAGAATTATAGACTTGAAGACAGTTTTTCTGAAATAATGCAAGAAGACAAAAAATAAGAAAACAGGAATTTTAAAAAATGAAGAAAATGTAAGAAAGATAGCAGAAAACCTTAACTGCATATCATCTGAATCATGGGTGTTCCAGAAGGGGAGGAGAAAGGAGAAGGTATTAAGAACATATGCAATGAAATGATAGTGGGAAACATCCAAGGTATAGGGAGACACAAGTACCTTCAGATTCAGGAGGCTCAAAGATCCCCAAACAGATTCAATCCAAAAATGTCCTCCCATTGTACAAAGACACTTTATAGTCAAACTGGAAAAACTCAAAGGCAAAGAGAGAATTCTAAAAACACCAAAACAAAAGCATCCAAGTCACCTATCAGGAAGTCCTCATCAGACTAACAACAGACTTCTCAACAGAAACTGTTCAGGACAAAAGAGAATGTGATGATATATTCAAAATATTGAAAGGAGAAGCAAACAAGCAAACAAAAAAACTGCCAACGAAGAATACTATACCAAGCAAAGCTAAACTTCGGAAATGAAGAAAAAGAGGTGTGTTTCCCAGACAAATAAAAGCTGCAGGAGTTCACCACCACACAACCTGACCGAAAAGAAATTCTCAAAGGA